GGCGAAGGTAGCAGCCCTTGCTCGTTCACTTCACCTTCTTCTCTGCCTCACTCTCCCTTTCCCTGAAATTGAAGCCAGGAGCAGCAAAAAAGGGAATTGCGTGTGGGTGTGTGCCTGTTGAAATAAGCACAAGCCTTTTCAGCCTACCTCCTCATCCTACCCTGAATTATTCTTTCCCTGACTTGAGATTTTGATACAGCATTTTTTTTTAATGTATTTTGTTAAAGCTTTGTAAAATTGGGCTAGAGTGATCTTTTTTTTTTGGTGTGTGTGCGTGGGTGGGTGGACTGCGAGGCTCTGCAGGAGGATATCTTTAGCCTTCGCAGTCCCTGCCCTGCTGCGTTCGGTATGATTTCCATCATCAGTATTACACGACACTTTGGACACATGTTGTTGTTTTTGTATTAAATGGGAAATCCTTCTTGTCTTGAAAGCAGAATAAACAATTGCATACTTCCATTCTGGTCTTCGTAGTTTGGTCTGGTGATTCTTGAGAAACAGTTTCCGCTTGGTAAATGCTTTGCTTCTCTTGTACTGATCAGGTGTGTGTGTGTGTGTGTGTGTGTGTGTGTGTGTGTGTGTTGGCTGGGAAGTGGCATTTCTGAGCAGCTGGTTGTGTGTGGTGGGAGTGGGTTGATCAGAACCGAATTAGGTGGCTTCTAAACCCCAACAATTGGGCTCGCTTTGCAGTCATTTCATCAAAGGACATTGCTGGTGGGAAATCTGGAAAAGCCAAATGGTGCTCTGTGTGTGTGTGTGTGTGTGTGTGAGAGAGAGAGAGAGAGAGAGAGAGAGAGAGAGAAGAGAGAATGCTTGGGGCATCTTTGGGTATTTTACCACCATTGGGGTATGTAGGTGCATGCAGACACCTGAAAATCTATAAGAGAGCTTCCTTCCATTGACCTTGGAAGACATTATCCAATAATGAAAGTAGAAACAAAGCCAGAACAGATATTTTAATATTTGCCTCCTGTCACCGGTCATATTCTTTACATGTTAACTAAAAGTAAGCAATAGATGAAGCTAAACACAGAATAACATATCAAAATAAGGCTTAACTTGGTAGCAATCAAGCTAACGGGGAGTTAGTAATAATAATAAAAAATGGCTAAACCTGAGCAGCTAGGTAGCGCCAGTAATCTGAGGTCTGTATAGAACCAAGAGTAAAACAGCACCTTAAAATAACTTTTGTTGTACAATAAGCTTCCTTGCTTAGCCTTCAAGGGGAGTCACAGAAAATCTTGTTGGGCCTTTACAGACCATCTAGTTATTTATTTATTTAAGACACACACACCCCCGGTAGTCACACATTTGTGTAAAATGCCAACATATAGCATTAGGGAGAAGCAACTCTTCCCCCCACCTCCTGCCCAGTGAGCAAAACAACTGGTAATGTGATAGGTGGAATGTGACTATTCAACTGTCTTAAGCATCCTGCCAGTTAGTGCTTGTGACACAAATGATGACCAGCCCCCCACCCCACCCCACCTCTCCTCAACTCTACACCTAGTAGAGGCTGCCATGCACCTGGTTTTTCCCTGGACACTTCCAGGAATTGGACTGTCAAAATGGCGTCTGGGCGTCTGCAAAATGGTGGTGGGTGGGGAACGCTCAACAACTTTGGCTGGATTTTCACTTTGGGGAATATGGCAACCCTAACCTAGTGGCCTTTAAAAACAAAATGATTTGGAGGTACTTCTCAAACTGAAATCTGACACAGTGCTATCTAGCCTTTACAGTGAGACTTGCACCTCTACAACGAGCCATGGGGGCAAATAAAATAATAATAGTCATACCTCGGGATGAATAGACTTCAAGTTAAGCATTTTTGGGTTGCGCTCCGCGGCGACCTGGAAGTAACGGAGCGCGTTACTTCCGGGTTTCGCTGCTCGCGCATGCACATGACGTCATGAGCGGAAGCGGCGAAACGCGACCCGCGCAGTCGCATGTTACATCCAGAGGTACTACTGTAATAATAAATCTCTCCTCATATATCTGCTGGAAATTCAGATAAACTTTATGTAGCACCCGCACACATGTTGACAGTGACTGGATTCAACTAAAATGCATCTCCTAAGGTTGCAAGCAGACGAGCTTCCGAAAAGATCAAAAGAAGCTTCTCAATTGGACTATTACCCACCCACTCCTTTAAAAAAGCAATAGTAAAATGGGCAGCCCTGTAGGTTAAGAAATAAGAGATGCAGAGACACCTTCCCCATGATGGAGGGCTGCATATCTGATGCCCCATCTCTAAAGGGATGCATGGCCTTGATGCTATCCTGCAGAAAGACATCCGTTTTCATTTATGTTCCAATGACCGAAAACATTATGAAAGAGCTAGTTTGGCATTTCCCCACAGGAGCTAATTCCAGTTCACGTGTGTCCAGTTCACAGTTCAAACTCATCCAAATGATCCTCAGCAACATTTCTTCAACATTTGGAATATTAGAAGCTGCTATGCTGAAGTGTAAGATATACTCAAGAAGACTGAGAAAACATCAAAGCACACACATGGTGGAATGTGAATGGCTTAATTGCCCCCCGCCACCGACAATTATAGTCTTTAAGCTCAAAGGCCCAAATATTCTAAAGTGTAAGAGGAGATGAACTGGAAACTGAAGTTTCATTGGGAAACAAATTTACCGTAGTTTACCTGGCAGTTATGAGAACTACATTCAGGTACAGTTGAGAAATCTTGGACTAATTCGGTGAACTTTGTTAAACTGGACTAGTTCATTCCAAACTCTGGACTGTACAGCAATGAGGAACTTGTGGGAGGACTGAGCCAAAGCTATACAGTGGTGCCCCGCAAGACGAACGCCTTGCAAGACGGAAAACCCGCTAGACGAAAGGGTTTTCCGTTTTGGAGGCACCTCGCAAAACGAATTTCCCTATGGGGTTGCTTCGCAAGACGAAAACATCTTGCGCGTCCCTGCGGGTTTTTTTTCGCTCCCCCCCCTTTTCCTAAGCCGCTAAGCCGCCTATCAGCTGTTCCGCTGATAACCCGCTTAACAGCTGATCGCGAAAAGCCGCTAGACAGCTGTAGCGCTAATCCGCTAAGCTGTCAATGGGCTTGCTTCGCAAGACGAAAAAACCGCTAGACGAAGAGAATCGCGGAACGGATTCTTTTCGTCTTGCAAGGTACCACTGTAATGTGGTTGGGCTTGCTTTGCTTCTGAAATTATATCTGAAGAGCTGTCACGTGGCACAAGCTTGTTTACTGCTGTCCCCAAAGGGCAGGACTCGAACCAGTGGATTCAAATGACAAGAAAGCGGAAGAACTTTTTGGCAACAAGAGTTGTTTGACAGTGAGACTGTGGTGGACTTTCCTTCCCTGGAGCTTTTTAAGCAGAGTTTGGATGGCCATCTGTCAGGGACTATTTAGCTGTCATACCTGCATTCCAGGAATTGGACTAGATGACTCCTTGGGTGCTTCCTAACTCTCTAATTGTATGATTCTATAATTTAGATATAGACAAGAAATTTCTTTCAAAGGACTGCCCTCGTGTGGCTGTTTAGCAGGCTGCTAGAGTGGAAAATGATTGTGTTTTCTCCTTCATGAAGCCACAGCATGGGACTCTAGCTAAGTGAGAGGCTGGGAAAACTGGAGTGGGCCTAATTAATTGTGATTGGTTTTTTACTTATTTATTTAAAAAAATACATTTATCTTTTCCTGTAAAATTTTGCAACCGGTCAGAAAAGAGTTCTGCTCTAGGGTTTGGGGCATCTAGCTGTGGCACCTTTGGCTGTGCTGCCCTAGCACAGTTACACCAGTCACTTTGGCAATCAGCTGGGAGAAGAGAGTTGGAACATGAATGTGTGCAGGGAAGTTACATAGGCTGTGCATCTACAAAGCTGCCTTCAGACGAGACAACTTTGCAGCCTAAGCAAAAGAAGTAGTCACTGGATTGGTTCAACCTGTTGCCAGTAAACACCATACAGGATGCTGATTGGTATGTGTGCAAGAGGTTTCTGGTGGGCGGGGTTTCTGGTGTGGGAAGAGAAGAATGTTGGCCCCCGCACAGCAAAATAAAATAAGGGAAACAGCAATTCCAAAAGTGAACCACTCCAAAGGCTCTGACAAAACCTTCTTTGCTGAAGCACTCAGGGAAATGTGTAAATATCATCACTCTTCATCCAAAGTAACAGTCATTTACTATCTCCTACAGGAAATAGGAAATGATAATTTTCTCTGAACACAGAAATCTGCCTTACAGCAGGCTCTGATTATCTGCCCACTCCAGGGATGGGGAGCCTGCGGCTCTCCAGATGTTGGGACTCCATCTCCCATTATGCTCGCCCATGGAGGCCAGGCCACCTGGGACTGATGGGAGCTGGAGTGCAGTAACATATGGAAGGCAACAGGTTCCCTAACCTGATCTACTCTCACTGGATCCCCAGAATGTTGGGCAGAATTAGTGGTTTGTCTCCAACTCAATTCTACTCAGAGTAAACCCACTGAAATTAGTGGCACTACGTTAACCTAAGTTAACATGAGTAGAACTGACATCAGATACAACCCAGAGTCCTGCTATGTAATTAGATATATTTTAGAAACCTGGATGTGGCAAGAACAGTTACACAGCTCCAAGGATGGTGATTATACGGTAGACCCACAATTTACGCACATTTAATTTGTGCGCATTCAGCTTTATGCAATTTTTTTTAAAAAAATACAATGCAAAGGGGACGGGCATCTGGGGGTGGCGTGTGTGTGTGTGGAAACCTTGGCAATCCCACCCACCATTGCACCCAATGGGTCTTGACCAGGGGTCAGCAAACTTTTTCAGTAGTGGGCTGGTCCACTGTACCTCAGACCTTGTGGGGGAGCTGGACTATATTTTGAAAAATATAGTCCATTTAATTTAATGAATGAATGAATGAATTCCTATGCCCCACAAATAACCCAGATTTTAAATAAAAGCACATATTCTACTCATGTAAAAACACCAGGCAGGCCCGACAAATAACCCAGAGGTGCATTTTAAATAAAAGGGCACATTCTACTCATGTAAAAACACGCCTTGGTTTGCCTACCCATGGTCTTGACTATTTTAAATTTTGGCTTTATGCACTAACCCCCATATAAGCTGCAGGTATGCTTCACTGGAAACAAACTGGTGACAATACATTTTCAGAAGTACTTCAATAAATGGGTTTCTTAACACATTTTGAAGCCCCCCCCCCACATCCACACACACACACACACACACACACCACACTAGCTACCCAAGTTGCTCCTTGATGTCCGACCAGCAAAGTTGGGACATTTTGTGGTGGCCTTTTGATGATGGGCATTACCAATGCCCACTGGTCTCAGGGTGACTGTCTCAGAGGTGCCTACTGAACTGCAGTAATAGCAACTAGAGCAGTGTTTCCCAAACTCCCCCCACCCCCATGAACAACTTTGAAAATTATTGTGGACACCCTAATCATTCTTCTGCCTGTTTCAGCCATTGTGTTGCATGATGCAAATGCTGTATGATTTTTAGTTGTATTTTTACAGTCATGCCATGGACTACCTGGATGAAGCTCTTGGACAATAGTTTGGGGACCCCTGAACTAGATAGAGTGTTGGTAGCACACAAGTGCACCCCATAGGGAATTCCCTGGGTGGCGCTTGGACACTGCCGTATATCAGGAGTTATCTTTTGGGGGGCTGGGTGTGCTTACACTCGCCCCAGCATCCGCGCTACCCACCAGTTGCATGGCATGATTACACGGCAGATGACCCTCCCTCCTTGGTAACAGTAAGGGTAGGGGTAATACCCTAGGAGAGGCTCACACACCCTCTGGCAGTATCGATGGGCACGGCGGCACTGGGCACAGCAGTATCCTCTCTCGTCCCACAGGGGATGGAACTCCAGTCCGTTCTGTGACTGAAAGGGAGGGCAAAAAGGAGGGCAAACAAGGAGGGCAAAAAGGCAGGAAATCAATCTCATTTGTACAGAAGGAAGAAAGGGCAGACATATCTGGGAAGGGGCCATCATTAGTGATGGGCAAGTCTCTTAAATTCCGTGCCTCATTTCTCCAATCTTAAATTCAGTTTTTTCACATTTCCACATCTGTTTGCAATTTTTTTTTAAAGGCCAAATGAAAACCCATCCCCAATACATACCACATTTTTACTGTTATTTTTGCTAACATGTGCATTTTCATGCACACTTTACCCTAGTATATACATTTTTGTAGACATTATGTGGCTGGAGATTTGAATTGCAACATTTGAAGGGGTGCAAATTTCAGAGGAGGGCTGTGCTTTAGTTCAAAAAGTGCCACTATGCAGGTCTGCCTTTAAATGCAAATTGAGTTTAATTTCTCCTCCATCCCTAACCCATAGCATTTAATGCCTTGTTTCTGGTAAAGTAGAGTGCACAGAGACCTATGTTGTGTGGCTGTATATAAATTTAATAAGTCAATAGTCTAGCAACACCTGGGATAACACAGGTTCCCCATCCTTGAGTTGCTTCCTCAATGTTTCCTCCTCAAAAAGTTCAGTCCCAGAGCTCAGTGATAAAATGGCTTGATCCCAAAGACTTATGTCAGGGATCACCAACAAGACCCATTGTGCTCGCTAGTACTTCTTATGGCACCCTTGAATGGTCTCAGTAAACACCCCCTCAAAAATCCACAACGCACAAGGGACGGTTGGTCCTTCCTGCTCAGTTCCTGTTTGCACTGGCTCAGCCTCTCCTGTATTGAACATGTCCTCATCATTGGATACAGGGATTAGACACCCACCCTTCTTTCCATTCTGGACAGAAGAGAGCTGCAAAGAGCTTTCCTTCTGTGACCAAGCTTTTGTGGTGGCTAATATTGGTGCCTCTAAAAAAAGAATGGTGATGAGACCACTGTGGTCCTGTCCCTTCCCTCTCATTTAGATGTGGCAGCCATTTAGTGTTACTTCATACCACGTGTTCCCCAGGCAGCCATTTTGTGACCGCTGCCCACAGCACTATCTTAAAATTCTAAATATGCCCATGAGCCTCAAAAGGTTGGCTGCTCCTGACTTACGTAATCATTCACAGGGAAATCCTCTTCTGTGAGCTGCCGGGCCTGACGTTTGGTACTTGGTCTTGCATCCTTAGCCAAGTGTTGCTCTTCCTTTTCCTCCTGATGTCTAGCCCAGTCTTGCTTGTCTCTCAGAATCGGATCCTCTTCCTCCTCCTCCTGACCTTCATTTTCAAAGTCAAGAAGTTCTGGCTCTAAGAGGCAGAGACAAACAAGTCACCATGAATTATTTTTCTGGTGGAAATTAAAGTGGTTTATGGCTTACCGCTGGAACCAGTTGTGTGCTAATTCATCCATAAGAGCACCTTGACAAACTGTCATTGACAGATCATACAGAACTGTGCTTAAATGGCAACTTATGTGTCTGGATTTTTACTTTTTAAAAAATATATATGGCGAACCTATTTTAATGCCTGTTCCAGATCAGAGAAAACCAGTGTCTGAACACCACCACTACAGGACTCTAGTATGCTGCAACCATAAGCTAGCTCTGTATTTCAGCGATGTCTCCTTTTCAAGTTGCGAAAGATTCTTCTTCCCCCCCGCCCCCCGGAACACACAGAAGCTGATAAGGAAACACAGGTGAGCTTTGCACAGGGTAAAAACATGACCAACCATACTGCAGTTGACGTCAGTATGTCTGAATTCAGTTTTACTCTGGGCCAAAGAAGGGTGTCTTTATCTGCACTGGTAGGCTGCAGGTTGTCAACATGCTACAAAGAGGAGAAGAATAAGTGGCCTTACCTCTTAATAAAGTCGGGTGGATCCAGTATACAGTCACATTTTTGCAGAGCTCAAAGATCTTGGAACCTTTCAGAAAATCTTTATTTTCAATAGGCTTCTCCCCTGGAATCCAGACTACAGACTGCTCGAAATAGGTATCTGTAATTTCCTCATCCTGCGAGAAATTTTAAAAAAAATGTCTTTTTCTTCATTTGTTAACCTAGAGGAACAATTTCATAGAGCTGTATTTCCCATACATTTCATATCCGGGGCACTATTATTTGGGACTAAAACTGGAGGCACACCTCACTCTTTACTAAAAAAACAGCAATCATATTGGTGTTTTCTTGATTTGTGTCCAAGATACTGCACTGGCATCCTCTTTGCAGCTTGCTCAGATAAAGTTGCCACTCAGTGTCCCGCCTTCCACTTTGCCCAGACATAAAGGGCATGAGAGGAAGCTGCCTGAATGAAATGCATATCTATATCCCACAGTGGGCAACTAGATCCCTCCAGGAAACCTTATAAATCCAATGTTTCCTACTTGGAGGCCTCATTATTCCCATCACGGCTAAAAATGTAGCCTCTCTCCTAAAAGGAGGGCTTCTTTAATACACCATTCGGAATCAAACTGGTCCCATGAAGAAGGTCCCAGATTCAGTCTTTGGAATCTCCTGAGAAGGCTAAGAAAGAACGCTGCCTGAAACCCTGGAGAGATGCTGCCAATCAGGGACAACAAAAATAAGCTAGAATCAGGGGTGGCAAGGTTTACCTCACCTGGGCTGGTTCACTCCACCGGAGAGCCCTACATGGGCCGGATTGCACGCGCATGTGAGCGTGTGCATCAGCCATTTCTGGTGTCTGTGCAGACATGATTTCCGGCACCGTGGAAGCGAGTCCCCACGCTGCGCTGTGCCAGTTTAGTGCAGCATGTGGGGACTCACCCAGCGGGGGGGCTCGGCTCAGGAGCGGCTCGGTTAAACGACCCCTGTGGGCTGCTTGTGGCCCATGGGCCTTAGGTTGCCAACCCCTGAGTGAGATTGACCAATGCTCTGACTCAGTATAAGGCAGATTCCTCTGTTTCTATGCATCTTAACTATTTTGACAAGCTGTGGAATTTGGGTTAAAATATTTCATTTAGCCCTTCAGTTCTGCCACTGGTTTAGCTGGACCAGTTTCATCTCTGGAACTAATTCCATCTGGACTGCTTTAGTTAGCCCCCTGTTTGTCATTTAACATATGCTGCGAGTATATCTGCCTGGTCTGTGAGAAATTTAAAAGCTAATGGGATTACTCTCGGTCTGTACTTTCCATGCTGTTATAAATCTCTGGCTGTCCTGGGTCTTATTTAATTCAGGGAGTTATTCATTTTTGCATACTTCCAGCTCCTCCATGTCCACGTTGGATGTTTCAGGAATCCCTTTAATCTGGTTTCGGATGAAGCACTTTGGGTCTCCCACAAAAAAGATGCCTGTTATTCCCTAGTGGAGCAGGAAAAAAAAGTCTGGTGAAGAGAACTAAATGCATAAAGTCCTGCAGAGATTGTATGGCTATAGTTTAATTCAGGGTAAGATACACCATTTGATATTTCAATAAGGTGGGCCCTGGATTTTATTGATGGGGCCAAAAGTCTAGGCAGCATTTAAATACTGGCCATAGTATGTGGTTCTTTCCCTGCAATGAATATATAAAAAATAAAAGCAATATGAAACAAAGAATATTTTTATTGTGTGGTTTCTATTCTATGTTTTCACAGGGCAATAGCACATCCTGATGAGCACCTCCTTCCCCTGCTCCTGCCCCCCCCCCTTTGCAAACTTTCATTGCATAATGGCTAAGATTCCTGAGCTAGAAGTCAGGAAGCCCTGGATTCAAATCCCACTTATGCAGTAATCTCACTGATTGGTTTGTCTGACAATCAATCAGATCTAGTCTTCCTCCCTCTTGCAATACTCAACTACTTTACAGGCTTATAGTTCATGTGCAAAAGTTCAAGTTTTCCCAGTCTTGCAATGGTAAAGATGTGTCTCTAGAAAATATGTGAAGTGCTTTGGAAACTCTGAACTCTATATAAATGCTTCGTTATTACTGCAAGTGGGACGTACAACAATGTGATATTCTAATCTCAGCCTGGGGAGGCTGCATCCTTGTATACTGAAGGAAGGGGAATTTAACAAAAACCTCGTGGCACACATCTCTACAAGCTCTTCTGGGCTTGATCAGGTCAATTCTCTCCCCCTCCTCCCCAAGTTTCTCCCTCCTCCAATACCTCAACATTCTCTAGGTCCTAAAAGCTCATATGTGGTTGTCAGGCTTTTATTTTTATAAATCACACTCTTGTATATGTACTTAATACAGAGTGATTCTCCACTACCTTATTTTTGGTTGGCACTCAATTCATGTGAGTTCACTATCAGTATACCATAGTCGTTAAATCATGGGATGTTCATTGAACTGTTTATAACAGTTGGCTTTCAGTGTGCAGACCCAGTGAGTTTTTTTAGAGGTACATGTACACTTCAGGAATAACTCCACAATATGTCCCTAACGGGTGCCATAGAAAGTGAAAATGCCTCACTCGGTACACTGTTATGTTTGATCTACCACAATTGGGCAGAAATGACAGTACATACATTTTTGAAGTCATGTATTTCCAGAACCTCCTTGTTGCCCTTTCCAGTTTGAAAGATCTCTGTCCTGGTTAGAGGATCTATCTTCATCAATATCTTCTGCTTCTCTCCTTCGCTGAAAAATGTGTGCTCCATGTCATAGATCTGTAATGACAAAGTGGGGAGAGGGAGGAAGATGCAGAGGGAGTAATGGCTGTGTTTCCCAAAGACCTAGGATGTCCTTTGCAAACAAGTGAACATTTCCTGCTAGCCAGCTTGCTAGTTTGGTTCTTGAAATATCTCTGCCAATGTAACCTGTTACAAGCCCTCACTTAGTCCTCAGTGTTCAGATATTCCAGGGCAGGCAGAGATACCCTGTTTATTTTTCCTTTGGATGAGAGAAAACTGGAGCCTTACGGTTAGGGTAAAGGTAAAGGTACCCTTGACCGTTAGGTCCAGTCGCGGACAACTCTGGGGTTGCATGCTCATCTTGCTCTATAGGCCGAGGGAGCCGGTGTTCGTCCGCAAACAGCTTCCGGGTCATGTGGCCAGCATGACTAAGCTGCTTCTGGCGAACCAGAGCAGCACACAGAAACGCCATTTACCTTTCCACTGGAGCGGTACCTATTTATCTACTTGCACTGGTATGTTTTCGAACTGCTAGGACCAAACAACGGGAGCTCACCCCGTCGCAGGGATTCAAACTGCTGACCTTCCAATCGGCAAGGATACCCCACTGCAAAAGAGGGCAGGGTTTCTGCACCTTTAATAGTTGTGTAGAAAAGGGAGTTTCAGCAGATGTGACTTCCTATGCAAGCTGTACCTGCTGGGATTTTCTGCACAACTATTAAAGATGCTGGAACATAAGAAGGAACATAGGCCTTATACAAAATCATTGGTCTATCTGCCTTAATGTTGTGTACAATGATTGGCAGTGGCTGTACAAGAATTTAGGCATGGGACATCCCAGCATTGCCAGGTATGGCAAGGAGATTGAATTTGGTACTGATGCTCTGCCCTGCTTTCTTTTGCACTTGGGCATTTAGATATATCTTTGCAACAACAGCAAAAGCAGCAACAATTCTGTTTACAAATATATGAGTAGGACACCAATGGGAGAATGGTGGATGCTTCTCCAAGGTCATAGTTCTTTTGCACTGCACCTTGGGGAAAAGACCTTGAGCCCATTGGGAGCAGGAGACAATAGCAGCTTTGGGAGATGGAAGGTTTAAATGAGGGAAACTGCATGCGGTAAAAGAGCCAAGACAACTTCTAAAGCCATGCTCAAAGAGGTAACTATGAATGGGCAGAATTCTCAGTTTCAGTGTCAGTTTCTCATTTTTCCAGTCTTAAATTCTGTTATCCACATTTCTGCATCAATTTGTGGATTGGAAAAAAAATCCTCAAGAAAAATTATCAGTGTTTTCTTATTTCTTCAAATATGGCACTTTTTGGGTATGAAGATTTGACCAATGTACACATCTTTGCAAGCCGTTTTCCTCAATATAATGCACAGTTGTATGTTGATTTTTTAAAGTATGCATTTTTGTACATATTGTTTGGTTGGAGAACTACAACACCAAATTCAGCATGTTGCTGATGTCGAAGGATAATTGCGATTCAGTTTGCCTGTTGATTTGAAAAGTGCATTCAGGTGTGGACAAAGTTGAGTTTCTACCCCATCCGTACTGGCAACTACTGTTTCTCTCTCAGAAAGTGCCAAGCACTCATCTCAGACACCAACCATGCAGGTGACTTGCCCGTTCATGTGGCAGGACCGTTACCACTGTAAGCATGAAGGTTCTCTCGTGGGAAACCAAAAGTTATTTTGGACAAAACCATAGCAATATTAACCTGAGCACATTAGGAAAATGGATTTTGCAGTATGGAAAGTTTAAGGTGAGGTCTTGGAAAGGAAGAACGTGCCAGGCATCCTCCAGGAACAAGCTGTGCTTCAGATTACTTGCAGTGGCATCTGAAGAAAATTTGGGAAAGGATCTTGAAATTCCAGTCTTTACACATGGAATGTTTTTTTTTAATGACTTTGGCAGTGTCCACATCTGAAGCTATTTCTTAAAGAGAGAGAGAGAGACCTCATGCAAAGTTCTAAATCAGAGGGTAGGATTAATGATGAGAAATGTCAAAGAGATTACAAGTCTCCTAAAATTGCTATTCCTCTGTGGTTAGCAAAAATCTCATTTATTATTTGTTTGTTGGTTTGTTAAATTTGCATTTTACCTTTTCAATAAATGTCCTCTTATAATAAGGTTCAGATGTTCTGGGGGGAAAAGCCCTTGTGGTACCGTTTCATCTTTTTCCTACTCTATGCCACAGGAAATTCATTTATGGTGTTAGTTTCCTCTAGAGGAGAGGGAGAGGGAGAGGGAGAGAGAGAGAGAGAGAGAGAGAGAGAGGCTCTTGTGGTGTGTTTCTGTTTACAGATGTTCAGGTTGAGCAGGTTTTACTGGAGTTGGTGGGGCATCACCACATCCATAATGGCACCTGACCTGCCTTTACCCATCTCCCAAATTTTCTTGGGTCTCATATTTCCTCAAACTGTTGCCTTCTGGCTCCCCTTGTGCTGAGCCTCCATGAAAAATATGGTTTATTTTATCTATTTCACAAAAATTATACATCGCTTGATTGTAAAAAACAAACAAATCCTCAAGGCAGTTTACAAAAAGAATAAAAAAGTAAAATGCCCAGTCAAAAAAGTTCATAACGAATATTTAAGACATTCAAAAATCATTAAAATCAACGATCAGCTAAAAAAACACAACACAGAGTAAAACCCGCATCAACATTCTACATGTCTAGGTAGGCTTGCCTCAACAAAAATGTTTTTAGCAGGTGCTGAGAAGAGTATGGTGAAGTCTCTAATTCTCATTCTGGCAGGTGGGTGTTGTGACTCTTATTCCAGATACTTGGAATAGCTCATTGTTCGTTCTCATCAGTTGATCAGGCGCCACCAAGTCTGCAAGCGAGAGCCACTTTGCATTTCAGAATGCTCTGATTCATAGCAGCTCTTTCCATTTATGATCTGTTGTTGTTCACCTTCCGCACAAATATTGGAGGGAGAACGAAGCTACAGGGTATTAGGTAGGACCCTGGGCTCAGTTGTCCTACTATACCTGCAGCCCTTTCAAGACAGTACCATCAAGTCACTTATTCCAGAATTTGCCAAGCATGCCCCTGCTGTTGTTTGGCAGCCCTCCTGCTCGTTTTGCTGAGACATCTGCCCTCAAGCCCTACCTTTATGGTGCCACTGGCATCTTAAGTAAGCTTGGAGTTAAAGATCAAAGGTCTGTGCTCTGTCAGCAGGCTAAGATGATGCTATGACAAACAGGGCAATGACAAACATGGGAGCTTTTGGCCCCCAAAAGAGAGTCCAGGGTCTTTTCCATAGCTGTCAACTTACAGATTTGAAAATAAGGGACCAGCAGCCTTGAAAATAAGGGATCAGCAGCCAAAATAAGGGATGAACAATTACTTTGATGAAATACATATTTTCTTGCATGCAAATGGCTTTAGATACCTATTAGGTCCATAAATTACCATATAGCATATATTCAACACAAAAAAACAGCAACAATTTGTTGTTGACAAAGCACAGCTGGACATATAAAGGGCCCCATTACCTTCAGTAGCTTATTTAAGGGACATCATCAATAAGGGACAGCAATGGGACATGGCGCTGGGATAAGGGACTGTCCCGCCAAATAAGGGGCGCTTGACAGCTATGGTCTTTTCATGTACGCTTGCTTGTTGAAACAAGGATGGAAGTTGTTTTCTTTTCAATATGTTTTGCTTCTTGTCTTTATTTGGGTTTGCAAAAATTGGCATTGCATTAAAAATCCAGCCCTGGTGCAAGTTTGTTTATCCTGGAAGTTGCTTTGGATGGCTGGACGAATAGTTGTTTCCTGATATCACAGGGACAGAGGGGAGTGAGAGGAGAGAGGTGCGTCGTAGTTATTTAAAACACCTCATCCCTATGTATCTGTATGCATTTTAAAAATGCTGTAGGGTGTATAATTATTGGTGACATTATGCACATGTGGGATTGCTGATTAGTGCTGCTTAATGAAAGCTGCGGGGCTAGAATGCTATTGTGCCCGCCCACAACAATTAATTACATTGCTTGAGGAGGGGGAGGGTGGCGAAGTCTTAAAATGCTGCTCTTTTGTTAAGTTCTGCCTCTGTGGAAAGAATTCGGTTGAGTTAGGTGGCATTTGTTCAGCTTGTGTTTGTTTAATATCCTTTCCCAATAAATCCCAGCCCTGTCCTTTAAAAAAAAAGGTTTTCTTGTCTGTGTCTTAGTATTCTCTCCCACTGCCCACATTTTGGCTCTAAGGTTTATTTAGCACTGTGTCTGCTAGGCCTTCTGTGTGTCTTGTGAATACATTGTACAGTCTGCTACATTATTATGATTACAGTGGTACCTCGGGTTACATACGCTTCAGGTTATAGGCTCCACTAACCCAGAAATAGTACCTCGGGTTAAGAACTTTGCTTCAGGATGAGAACAGAAATCGTGCTCCAGCGGCGCAGCAGCAGTGGGAGGCCCCATAAGCTAAAGTGGTGCTTCAGGTTAAGAACAGTTTCAGGTTAAGAACAGACCTCCAGAATGAATTAAGTTCTTAACCTGAGGTACCACTGTATAGCGCTTTTCTCACTGTTACTATTTCCGCTTGCTAAGCAGCCACCAACTAGCAAGCATGACTACAGCCTAGTTTCATAGCACATACTTTCATTATCTCATTATTTCTAATAATTGTTGTTTGTGGCAACATAGAACTGTAGAGTTGGAAGGGACACAGGGGTCATCTAGTCCAACCTCCTGCAATGCAGGAATCATTTGCCCAATGTGGGACTCAAACTCAGGACCCCGTGGAAACCGATAGAGGCATTTGCCACTGACTTCAAGTGGGACATGTGCGTTGTGTGAAATGCTTGCGCGCCGAGAGGCGGCAGCGAGGCAGCACACGGCCAGGGAAGAGGCGACAAAGGGACAGAGGGGGAGACAGAAAGAGGGGGTTGGGGAATGAGCTTGAGGCAGAGCCTGAGGCATGGCATTTCAGCCTCGGGCTTGAGGACCTCACCGCCCGTTCAGTCAGTCCCCGTGCGCTGAGGTAAACCCGGCATGGCGTCTCAGCCTCGGACTTGAG